GGGAGGGGGGGAGGAGAGGGAAGGGAAGGGGTCTGCCACGGCTGGCGGGGACCTGGCTGCCCTGTGGCCAAAGCCCATGGGGGCACCAGTCCCAGGAGGAAGCACCTCAACTCCCAACATGGGCATCCGACTCTGACAGCAAAGGCACCGCAGCTCCCCTGGCTCTGCGCTGCCCAGCACCCTTGGGTGGGGCAATGGGACTGTGCCCCCACCTGCTGGTGGGGCTCAGCATTGGCACATGGGTGACGGGGCTCTCAGCTGCCAGGGATACTCACACGATGGCACTCACTCCGCGGCAGTACCGCTCCCACATGCTGCGAAACCGCGGCTGGCCGCCAATGTCCCAGAGCTGTGACAGGGAGAAAGCGGTGTCACCCCCCCGTCCTGCCCATGACCCTTCCCCACGCAGCCAGAGCACCCGGCAGGCACCAAACCCACCCCCATCCCCTCCTCTTCATCTCAAACCCAACGAGGAGGGTCCCGACACGGTAAGGAAAGGAGACATCTCAGGAAGGGCAGCTCGAGGGTGTCAACACCTCCTGCGATGTGTCTCTGCTGCCACAGGGGGACCCCCCTACCCATGCCCACCACCCCTCCTGGCCTTTTCCTGATGCATTTGTCATTTCAAAACACTCAGCACACTCTCAGAAACATTTCTGCAGCAGACAGGGATCCCCCATCAGCTTTTCAAGCCCATCCCACCATCATTTCCCAGTCCAACCCGGGGCCCTTGAAAGATCCAGAAGTAGTAGAAACCTCCTCTCCCTTTACTCTCAAGGCAGAGACCACCACTGCAAGCCATGACCCTTTTTTCCCAGCACTCCCACCCTCAGCAAGTTCACCACACCCACGGGTCCCCGCCAGCAAGCCAGAGGTATAAGAAAACCTCCCGCTTTGCAGCCTGGACCGGCTCTTACTGCAGGTCTGGATGTCCTACATCCCTTCCCACCATCTCCTCTGGTGGGTACCTGCAGAAACCTAACAGGGCAGATCTTCCCAACTGCAGCCGGGGCTGCTGGCATCTTTCAGCCTCCAGCAGAAGTCCCACCAGTCTCCCTGCACCCCACCTTTCATCCCAAGAGCCCCACACCAGCGAGAACATCTGCACCTTACCTTTATGGTAACATTCCCCTTGGTGATTTTCCTCATGTTAAAGCCCACCGTTGGGATCATGTCTTCGTTGAATTGTCCTGACTGCAAGGAACAAGGTGATACTGAGTTAGGAGGCATGGAACCCCCGCCAGCCTGCCTAGAAATAACCCCAAACACTCTGCCGGCCCTGCGGCACGTACAGCACGACCCTCCTCCTGGTCCACACCAGGAGCAAAATCAGAGCCAAGGAGATAAAATGCCTGCAGGAGGGAAATGCTGGGGCTGCTGCATGGGGCACAGGGTGCTCTGGGTGCCCCAGCGAAGCCCCCAG